TATTTTCAATTAAATTTAATCATATGTTAAAAGATTTACCTATTTATCTTAATTTATTAAATAGTGAAAAATAAAATTAATTTAAATAGGATTAAGTAAATATAAACCTAATGAGTTAGAAAAATATAATTATTTGGAAATATGTGATATAATTTAATCTATAAAAAATAATATAATAAAAGGTGATATATTATTTGGAAATCTAATATGATTTGTATTGACTTTTTATATTATCACTTCATGGGGTGATCTAATTTTGTCTTCTGTTTTTTCCGTGTTTGATTTGTTTACGCGGATTATAAAATATTTAAAGAGTAAACTTAGTTGAAATAAAAATATAGGAGTAAACTTATTATGATCGTGACACGTATCAAGTTGGTCGACCTGATTTTGACAAATGAATACAAGTGTAAAAGATTTTTTTTTCAATTAAATATAATTACATGTCAAAATATTTATCTATTTATCTTTATTTGTAAGATAGTAAAAAATAAATCTAATTTAAATAGTATTAGAAAATCTAATTATTTGGAAATATGTGAAATAATTTAATTGAATCTTATTATATAAAATTTGATGCGTCAAACATTGTAATTAACATGATCGTAACACGTGTCAATTGAGTTCTTTAGATTTTGATAAGTGTATTTTTAATTAGATTTAACCATATGTTAAAAGATTTATCAATTTATCTATTTTGTAAGATAATAAAAAGTAAACTGAATTTAAATAGGTTTTAGAAAATCTAAAATTAATTTAAATAGAGTTAAGAAAATTTAATTATTTGAAAATGTTTGGTATAATTTAATTGAGATAGTGAAAATTTAATCTAATTTAAATAAAATTAAAAAATCTAAACGTAATTTAAATAGGATTAAGAAATTTTAATTATTTAAATTTATATAATATAATTATTTCAATATCACATAATATAAGAAATAAATATGAGAACAAAATAGATAAATATTTGATAGATTTTTCTATAAGTAGGTTTGTTGACATTCCCAATTTTATATCACTTTATGGGGGTGACTTAATTTTGTCTTCCATGTTTTTCGTGTTTGATTTCTGGTAAAAATAGTTCAATTACAAATATGAGAATAAATTAATAGGGCAATTGCAAAAATGTCATTTTTTMTMTWRWRATTTGCAAGAATGCCACTTAGGGTGTTCATTTGCAAAAATGTCATTAATTATAGATTTATAAAGCATATATCTTAAAATTCTAGATCCTAAAAATTGTTTTGACCCCTAAAACCTCCTAAACACTCAAAACTAAACCCTAATACAACATAGTTAATCCAAACATAAATTATATAATGAAAAAATAATTTTGAAAAAGTGGCATTTTTTGAAATTTCTCTAAATTTATCAATATTTTGAAAATTAGATATTTAAGTAGTAAATTAAGAAAAACAAAATAAAAAGATACACCTAATTTAAATAGAGAAATTTTAAAAAATGTCACATGTTGCATGACACTTTGCAAAAATGCCACCTTTCAAAATTGTTTGCAAAAATGCCACTAACATTTTATTGTATTCCAAAATTACCCTTTGACTAATTTTACTCTAAATTTTTTCCTCTAAGAAAATCATCTTCTTCTTCGATTTTGTAGTCGTAGCTTCCTTCAAACTCGAGAACCTCTGCGAATCAGCTGCCAAAACTGTAGCTTCAGCAGCCTGCTCTTCGTCGGCACGATCTGCCTCATCGGCCAAGCGTCGATTCCATCCCAAGGTTTCCACATCTGTGATTTTCAATTTCAATAGATCAGAAATTTTCTCAGATCTGAAAAACTAGAGAAAGTAAGATTCTGATCATATCTGAAAAACTGTGAGTGAAGAATTGATTAGTACTGAAAAAAAACTAATCAATCTCAGATCGCGATTGTCTTTCAAATCTCGATGGGGTAAAATCAGAGAGTTAAGGATTGTCTTTTTCTAGTTTTAAAGCTTAGAATGAATTTTTATGTGGTAGATCTATAAATCTTATATGTAAAAAGCAAAAAATCTGAAAAAATATGATGAAATTTATTTAAATAAACGTTGATGGTGGCTGCACATTAGGTTGGTAGAGGAAAGATAATCGTGGAAGAAGATGCATAACTAAACGTATGTCATTCATTAAAGGAGAAAAATTATTAAAAAAACATGAAGTGCTTCAAATCCGAGACCTAGAGACTTTAAATATGCACTAGGAGATTTTTATTGTTCATACTCCTGATAAACAAATATAAATCATATAAATGTAAATAAGAGCGAGTATACACAGACCAATCAGTGGAGAGATAATTAATGGCTTG